TCGTGTTTGATCATATGCGTCCATATTTCCTGGTCACTTCAAATTTTCCAAGAAGTGTCTTTGCAAGATTAACATGCTCTATTCCGAGTAAAGTGTTTAAATTACAAAGGCATTAAGATCCTTAGTCCTATATGATCACCCATGCCAACTAATTATTTTCCGATCTTGATTGAAACTTAGATTGTTACCACTTTGTCATGGAATAATACGAAATGTTCAAAGCCATGCTTACCCTTCCGGGATTCACATTTCATGCAAGCAAAATTAGCTAAATGCCCAATTTAACTAAGAGGTTAATTCAAACTTTAATATTAGAAACACAAAAATCATCCGAGTGCTAATTCATCAACATAACTACATAGATTCAAAGGGATTAGATCCTAGAGAAGAGTTAGTTGCTTATAAGTACAGACACAATACAAGAGGAAGAATAACAAGCGTTGAACATCAATACAAAACATGAAAATTAGCTAGAGATAGAAAAAAACTCAGGATGTAACTGTCTACTCATGCGACTGACTTGCCTAAGCGCGCGGACCTGAGTACTTCTCCATGCACCTATATCTTATCTTCTGCTTTACTCTTTACGTTGTGTATATTCTAACTCTCTCCCTTCACTTGCACCTCCATTCCCCCCCCCCCCATCTCGTCTTCGGTGGTTCCTTTTATAGAGCTGCATTTTTCTCCTTTTGCATTATTGATCCACTTGCTTCCAATAGTTAGGACAACTTTGGGTCTCTTTCCTTGACCATTTTTAAGTCTAAACTCTTTGTCTCTTTGCTTGCTTTTTGAACCACCTTTGTAGCTTCCTAAACTTTTTCCTTTGCCTTGAATTTTTGTCTTTTTTGGCAGTAATTTCCATCCTTATTGTGGTCCTATTCTCGGCTCTTCAAAAACCCGATGTATCTCATCTCCTAGTTTGGTTGTTGCTAAAATTGCATTCCAAGTTCAATCACCATGTTTTGTATTCTGCTCGATTTTGCCCATATTTTGTACTATTCTGCAATTAAGTCCATGATCGTGCAAAAATATAAAACTTACTTAGAAGTAAACCCCTTTTTTTCAAAAAAAAAAATTCACCAAAATAAATTACCAACTTAAACTGTAGATAGGATAACTCGGGTCGATCCCACAGGGACGGATTAACCTTCAAATAACCGGAAAATAAACAAGAATATAAGAGTTGGACAAACAAGGAAGAAAATTGATAATTCTGACTACACGCGAATGGACTCTGCAGAACTGAAGACAAACAGACAACTGAAACCTCACTCACGGGAGTGAGAATTCTGACTTAGGGGACTGACTCAACAAACTGAGGTATTCATTTTCTTTTTCCTATGTAATCAAGTGGTAATCTTGCACTCTTTTGGTATGAATTCATGCTCATTCAGGCACTTATATATCTCTAAGTCACTTCCGATTTTTCATAGAGGCATCTTTATAAACTCAATTAAACTATTTTCTAATGATTAATCAAGTCATGAAGTTATTAAGTTTTTAAGCCTTACATGAATGCTTATGCTAACCAAGTATATTCCTATCTCAATTAGAACCTTGGACTGTTACCTCCAAGTCATAAGTTGAACCTGAAATCTATCCAAACGAAGTTTATCTTTCCAGATCTCCCCTAGTTCTAGCATGCATTCAATTAGTGATGAAGTAACCGAATGTAGAAAACCTTCCAACTTCAAAACATGTATTCAACAAGTGCATTACAAAGTCAAATTACATAGGTTCTAGAGAATGAAATCTGACTAACTAGACATACAAACTACAAAAAATATAAGAAAGGAAAGAAAGAAGCAAGAAGAAGCAAACCTGAATGTTGGACAACAGGAGTGACAGAAGTCACTCAGGCGAGTGAGGCCTGTTATCCCTCCTTGCTGTAACTGGGCTTCTTCTTCTTGGAGTTCCTTCCTCTCTTCTTCACATATGTGTAGTGTTGGTGTATTGTATGTGTGTTTTTTGTCCTCTGATATGTGTTCTTTATGCTGGGAATGCAGTTCCTTTTATAGAGCTTGTTGCCGGTTCTTCTTCCAAGAGAGTCTCACCATGCTTGTGTATTTTTTATTTACCCCAATGCCTTATATCTTGAATCCAATTTTGAGAGCCTTTTCCCTTTCTTCCAGCAGTGGTATCAGCAGCAGCATTGATCAAAGTGGGTGGTTGGTTCTTCAGCCAAGGGGACAAGCATGCTCTTGGGTTTCTATGGTGGGACACCCTTATTTACTCCCAATGTGCTTTGTGTCTTGAAGTTACTTTTGGCCAATTCAGCAAATTTGAATCCAGCATCCCAATTTTTTTTCCCTAAGCCCCCTTTTTCAGCTAATGTTCACTCAGGTCCTTACCTAATTAAAAACACAAAATTAGTTAAGTATAATGAACTAATTCTGAGAAACATCCCTAATTTCTTACTAATGAAAGAGTAAATTGCCATACTTTTATGTAACAAATTAACCATTATCAATAGCTCACTTTCGTGAGTGTGTGAATTATACCACAGAGGTTCAGTTTTATGTCAACCTAATTATCCATTCTAAATATTTACCAGTTTAAGTTCAAATGGACATTCCTGTATAATGTGGCTGTTCCTCTATCACCTTCAACTAGGGCATTCTAACTAGGAAGTAACTCTAAGAACTTCCTCTCAGTTCAACCGGTATTGCAACATCAATTCTCCCTCATTTTCTATTTTTAGGACTCTTTCCCATTCAAATCTTTACCAAGAGTATTTTAGCATCAAAGGTAATCTAAGCATATTTTTTTTTAACCTCACACAAGCATCAGACTCTCATCTCTTTAGTGCCAACCCTCACCTCCCAAGGGTTTAATGCCATATTGGACATTCTCCCTTTTTGCCTCATTAGATAGAACACTTAGTCTCAGTTTCAACCACCAACACTACTATTTTTCTCAAGGATTTGAGGTCTTTACAAACCACTATGGGCTCGAATCAAGGGTGCCATAATACGTAGGGTTGCTAAAGGTTACTTTCAAGACTTACATTACTCCTAAGATATCTAATGCCTAGGAACAATCACATAGAACACAACACTGAATTAGTCATACCATATTTTAAGTTTAATCACAAGACAATCACTAAGCCAAATGATATATGTGCTTGTGTAAGTGGTCATAAACTGATTAATATGACCTTACACCGATTCTCATGTGTTTTCAGTTCAATTTTTCCACAGTTTGAATCATCCTATACTTTGGACAATTCTCAAACCATAGACTATACTGACTAGTAAACACTCTACGAACAAAACAAATGGTAACTAAAAAGCAAAATAAAAACAAAATTTAAAACAACCTAAAAGAGTGCTTCTCATACTCAAAGCACACACAAATATTAACTATGTAGATATTGCTACTCACAATTTAGTTTTGATCACACAAAAATATAAAACTTACTTAGAAGTAGACCATACTTAACTACATACTTATAATGTTTACTTGAAAAGAGATTACAAACTTTATTTTTATCATGCATAATTGACACTCATCACGAATCTAGATCCCACCTCCATCTTTCGTATAAACTACGCTGTGACAATTGACATAAATTTTTTTAGAAAGAAAAATCAAAATTCAAATTCAGTAACTCAGCCAGAAATATTATATTTTTAAATAAATAAAAATAAAAATTCAAATATCATTATTTTTAACTTTTTACGTAGAATTTATTTTTCTATTTTAATCTTGTTTTGCCATTTTATCTCAGTCAAACTTTAAATTTACATTCTTCCTAATTATTTTTTTTTCATATGCCAATTCGGATTTAAAATCAGCAAAGCCATCCTATTCTTTTAGAAAACGCTTTTAAATCACAGTGAAAAGGCCAACCCCAAATTTTTTTCGAGTGACTTGCTACTTTTATTTGATCTAATTTTTTGGCTGAAAATTTTTTTCCGCTGAGATCATAATTGACTCGGGTAAAAACTATATAGGATAAGTTTGACAGTGATGGGTTTGGGTTTAAAAAAATTGACTATAAAAGTAAAAATATATATTTTTATAAATTTAATCTTATTTATTTTTTCCTTAATCTTATTTCTAAACATTATTTAGTATCTATATTATTTTTATTCTTTTTATTATTTTGTTCAATGTTGGATTTTTCAAAAAAATAAATCTTTTTCTTCTTAAAATACCATGTTGACTTTACGCCGAATGGGATCAAAACTAATACAATAGCATCAAGGGAGCAAAAAGATTATAAACGAAAATATAGAGGACCATCTCATGTAATTGTTGATGTAGAGTACAAAAATATAAATTTAATCTATTGTAGAGGACCAATTTCAAAATATAGTCTTATTGGAATCAAGAACTTGATTTTCTAAAACAACTTATAAGAAGAGAAAAAGAAAAAGAAAAAGGAAAAAAAAGTGGGTTTCTTTTTGGGTTAATATCCTTATCTAAAAAATATTTCCTCTTTAAACAAAATTAAAAATATCCATTAATCAGCAAGTCAATTATCAAAAGAGTCCTCTGATGATTGGAAATTGATGTAAGCTAATTAAGAAGTCAGCAAAAAAAATGTCAAAAAGTTGTTTGTACCCCAAGAAATCCTCCATGTTTTTTTCTTCCCGCAAAGTCAAAGAAATCAAATGCCTATTTCTAAATGATTTTATTAGAGTTTGAAAACAAACTGATTGTTTCTTAGGGAATTTGTTGGATAGTTTGGATTTAGAAGTAGATATTTTGATTTGATTTGGTAGTCGCGTCAGAAAATATTTAAGTTGCAATGATGATGAACTAGAGTTTATAAGATCCTTTGTCATTGATGTTGTAGGACACCTCGATCATATGGGAAACTTCCTGCGTTCTGGAGTTGCATTATTGCAGTAGTATATAAGACAGAGTTTGTCCCTGATTCTATGGCCAATGGAAGATTTCCGGAGTTTTCTATTGCCGCTTAATAACATCATAAGAGGAGATCAAAAGTATTTAGTCTAAGTTTTAGGAAATTTTTCACAACAGGGAAGATAATGGAAGTAGAAAATAGTACTAAAACTGGTCATTGTGAGATACAGTTGCCGGTTAGGAGCCCTGAATTTGATGAGCTTGTGGTGGGCTTCGACGATGAGGCACAAAACATAATTGATCGACTCACTAGAGGTTCAAAAAATCTGGATGTTGTTTCTATTTTGGGCATGGCTGGATTAGGGAAAACAACCCTAGCCAAAAAAGTTTATCGGCATCACTCCATATTACATTACTTTCATGCTCGCTCCTGGTGTACTATATCTCAAGTTTACAATAAGAAAAGCTCGTTACTTGAAATTTTAAATTCTCTTGAGAGTGGTTGCGACAAAAATATGTTAGACTTGATGAGTACAGATGATTTAGCTAATGTTCTCCGTAAATCTTTGAAGGGAAAAAAGTATCTTATCATCCTGGATGATGTTTGGGATATTGAAGTAGAGCAGTTTGAAAAATTCATTCCCAAATGACATCCAGGGGAGTAGAATTCTCTTAACCAGTCGATACGATCATGTAGCCTTGCAAAGCAAACACCACCTTCGTAACCTCACGAATGATGAGAGTTGGATACTCTTCCAAAAGAAGATATGTTTTAAAGAAAATTGCCCTCAAGAATTACTTGTGCGTGGGAAGGCGATAGCACAGCGTTGCTATGGATTGCCACTGATGATCTTAGTTGTTGTCGGAATTCTGTCTGATATGGAGCCAGATTCATGGGAAGAAGTTGAAGAAAGTCTTAACAAGGGCAACACCTCAATCACAAATCAGTGGATAGAGACCCTAGAGTTGAGTTATCGTCATTTACCTGAGCCTCTAAAATGCTGCTTCCTATACTGTGGTGCATTTGGAGAAGACCAACAAATACCTGCTCGAAAATTGGTATGGTTATGGATTGCAGAAGAACTTGTGGTGGAGAAAGATGGACGAGAACATTTGGAGGATGTTGCTGAGGACTACTTGAAGGAGTTAATAAATAGAAATTTAGTTATGATTGCAAAGAAAGGTTCTGCCGACCGGGTAAAAACTTGCGTTCTTCATGATCTGTTACACAACTTTTGCATACTAAAGGCCAATGAAGAGTGTTTTTTGCATCACTTACCTAGTCATGACCTTGGTAAGTCCATTGAACCAAACATGATATATCGGTTAAGTGTTCATTACAGGAAAGTTGAAGATCTTGTGGATTCGAGGCTGATTTATTCTCGATTACGCAGTTTGTTACTCGATGCTGATTTTGGAGGAGGGTGCGACGATGCATTCTATTCCAAAATTTTCCAATCCAGACTTTTACGAGTTTTGGAAATGACAGTTGCTCGTGAGTGCTACGTCATTCCAACCGTAATTCTACCACTTGTCCATCTAAAGTACTTGGCCTTGAGATCATTTTCAACAAAGTTTATCATCCCTCCGTCATTTTCCCAACTAGCAAATTTGGAGACTTTCATTTTTTATGGATTCGGAGGAGTTTACCTTGAAATTGAGCTTCCAAATACTCTTGGGAGTATGATAAAATTAAAGGATCTCTACACCCGTCATGCTCAATGGGTACTGCCACCAGACAATCCGGAACACCTCTCCAATCTAAAGAATTTACGGAATCTTTCATCCGTAACGTTTTCAAGTCTACAAACAATGACGGAACTGATCAGAAACTTTGCCAATATCCGGAAACTGAAATGTGATCTCGATCTGGATGAGGAGCAGCATGTGAACTTGGAGATTGTAAGACTAGATTTCTTGACTCAACTTGAATCACTTAAATTCTACTGTGGTCCCCTTGATCGTCCCTTTCAGTTTCCTCAGAAGCTGAAGAGGCTCTCTCTGTTGGGGCTTGAGCTTCCATGGAGTAAAATCTCCGCAATTCATAAACTACCTAATCTTGAGGTTCTCAAGTTACAGAGCCATTCATTTTTAGGAGACGAATGGGACATCCTAGAAGAAGAAGAGACATTCCCTAATCTCAGATTTCTTAAATTGGAAGAGTTGGATTTACGAAAGTGGATGGCCTCCAATGATAATTTTCCTTGCCTAAAAAAATTAGTGTTGTCATGGTGTGATAAGTTGGTGGAGTTACCTACTTGTTTAGCTGAAAGTGCAACTCTTGAAATGATCGAGGTATGTCGTTGTACAGTTGCAACTGAATCATTAAAGCAGATTCATGAAATTAAGGAGAAATATGGAATTGAGAATCTGAAAATCCTCATCGTCGAATGAAAGAAGTAATTCCACTTGAGGTACATTGTTTTTCTCTTGGATATTGGATCGGCTAACGGGAAAATGAAATGGTAAATTTATCATCTTTGATACCCATTTCTCGTGATTATCTAACCTTATAGTGAATACTATAAATAGGAAAGTCTTACGGTAAAACAATTACAAGGAGCCCTCACATGTTTTTTAATATTTTTACATATTCTGGTATTTTTAAACACATTATGGTTCATCTGGCTGTTGTTACGTTATGTCACCAATTGCCTCATTAACTCCAATTGTTCTGTTGATTTTTTTCTAGATGAATCTCGCACTTCAGTATCACAAAATTGACCAAAAGATAGTGTATTGTTTGGAATTTCATTTTCTGGTTTTGTTGTAGAATACCGACGTTCTAAACCTTTTACCGTGAGCATTTTACCACCTTTGACTTCATAACGGACAATTCTTTAAAAAGTTCGGAAAAGTATGCTTTGGATATTAGAAATTCCCGAGGCAAAGTCAGTAGCTATGCAGTCCTCAAAACTAGGGCTATTTTGAAGGAATTTAAGCAAAGATTTGCTCAAGTTTGAAAAAAAAAAAAAAGAAAAAGAAAAGAAATTTAATACTCCGCATTTCACAATCTTTTCTAGGAACCATCATCAATGACAGTTTAAGGGAGTGATCCTTTGTCCTAATAAAATTAATTGCGACATGGCATCAATAAAATTTCCTATGATCTGCTATCGAAAAAAATTAGAACATAGAAAATCCGGGTTTGTTTATCCTTACCACTTAGATCTATTTTATTTTGATTCTTTGTGAAAAGAAAAGAATTGGAAAATTTTTTCCACAACAGGAGGATTTAATTATTAATTATGACATATAAAAGAGAAGAAACTTATTAAAGGTCAATAAAAATTAATACGTAGTTTCACCTTAAAATCAATTAGTAATAAGCAAAGTAGCATTGGAGACTTATATGTTGGGAAAGTTGGCCTACTATTCCTAAAATGGAAAAAATATTTTTTACTTGTTAGATTTTAACAAAGCCAACCGCGAAAAATCAATCTACTCATATTGGTCAAGACTCAAGATCATAGAACTGATGGAAAAGTAACAATATGATGACAAGACCTAGAAAAATTTCTGCAAAAGAGTCTACTACAAATATTACACACCTGTTAGGAAGTGTAATAACCACAAAAGAGCCTAATAGTCGGAGATAGTTTAAATAAAAGCTCAAGTGTTTGAATGTATCCATCGATCCAAATCTAGGCCTTTCATTCCCTTCATCGATCTACGGTGAACCCTGGAACTACATTAGCAATTTCTTTCACAATCTTATCATTCATTTGATGCTTCCTTTTTTCATCGAATGAGCAACGAACCATGCACAGAGAATCGACATCGATGAAACCACTGGTCAGAAGGATCCTCATTTTCCTCAAGCACCAATGATGAAAATAAAGAACTTAAATGAGAAAGATTCAAGAGTGTACTTGATCACATTCCATCTAGAATAGTCTGATTCCATACTAAAAACATCGATCGAAGATCAACAACATGGGCTCTTTTAGCCCAATGGAGATCTCCTTTCCACAGTATTCCATTACTAAAATGAATTTCATTATCGGGATCAAGCCCACAACTGGTATCCTAGTTCTCAGATGCATAAATGGATACTCTAACCCGCAGGATATCGAAGGCTCATGTAATGTTCAAAGCCGAAGAAGTTAAAGCAGTTTGCCGACCAATCGCCGGATTATGAAGCTTCGGTAAGAGCCTACGTTGATGAATGATAGGATTATACACGAAAAATCACATAACCATTAGATCCTGAAGTAATTAAAAGAACTGTATGTCCTTTTATTTCATTTAGTGATTTCTTAATCCCTCGAATCGATTAAACTAATTATATACTGCTTTTTTTTGTGGCGTATTTCACACGTTCACGGGTTCACGAATATCACAATGGACAGGTTGATTCAACAAATTGCGAACATAACTTCCAATCGCCACCCACCAACTCCTATGCAACGGCCAAAAATTATTTGAAGAAAAGCTATATAGATTTCTTCTTTTTGTTTTGTTTTATTTTGTTTTTTTTTTTTTAGTGGGGAGATTCTTAATGGACAATGTCATTTAGCCACATGGGCAAGAACAAATTGGTCAGCTCGTAACATTACAATGCAATGCACAGTGAGGAAACGAGCACGAAACAAATGTCAAATCTATAAATATATAATAGCACACACATATCATTTATAATTCTTATTCTCATATAATTTCAACCATACATTTTTCCTGGGTGTATCTCTTTATAATGTAACTAAAACATATGGGAATATGGTAGGTCTGGAACCAACCTCAAATCTCTCATGAATATACATGAAAGAAAAGCATCAAAATGAAATATATAACAATACTATATATGCCACAATATATATATGTGTGTGTGCGCGCGCGTGTATTTATATATACACGGTGCAATAATAATTTATAGGGCATACCACAACCATATCTGATAGTTCTATCCCATGATTAATTCTGCCTGTCGGAGTGACCAGAAGGAGGCACTATATCCCCTTTGGGAAGCATGTTGAACACCACATCTTTTTTATTCAGATACTTCTGCTCATAAATCTTCAGAATGTCTGTGGGTTTCATCGAATTTGAACCTTGATTATCATCCTTCTCCATCAGTAATTCCCTCCCAGGTCTTGCTTCCAAGCATGAGCCAAAAAGTAAGACCACAAGCAATATAATACACAAGTTTGGGTAAGAATAAGAAAAAGTAGCCATGTTGAAGGATTTTTGGGGTATGATTATTTGCTCAAATGACAGGTCAAACTGTTACAAAATAATGGGGTGCATGTTGATGCATATTTATATAGGGACAAAAAACATCGGTTCAGTCGCTCCAACGTGTGGGATAATACAAAGAATTACGTAGTTCGAAAATTTTAAAACTATATATCATACGCAGCTGAGTCCCAACGTTTGGATGTGGTACGGAAAGCGGTCTTCACTAATTCTTTTTTTTTTTTTTTAAGGGTTTTTAAGTTCAGCGAATTCAGGATATTACGTAAAAAGGCAAAATCAAAATCATAATGTACTGTGAAGTTTGTCAGTTTTGGAATGGCGGTTAATTCTCTCTTTCAAAATATATTCGTATTTGTTTAAAGGCAAATATACCACGTAGAAATTTTGATGGAAATAGATAAAACTTTATACTTGTTTGTTTAGCTTAAGTAATCGACTCAACATTTTCTAAGTAGATCGTTGGATCATTATCAACTTGTGAACTACATGAAAATCTTCCGTACTGTGTATCGCCATAATATTAGTTCATGTATTTCTGATTTTTGATAACTTTAATTGGTCTCAACTATAGTGACAAAATAAACATGCATACCGACTGGTAATAGTACTTGAACTCAAGTTTGTAGTAGTCCGTTTCAATAACTAAAATTGAAAACTATTCTAAATACTATTTACTAAAATAAATACTCACTCCGGTCCTTAATATAAGGCATTTTGATTTTTTCTAGATTTAACCTAGTACATATTTTTAATTGGCACAAAAATCTTAAAAATATTTTATAACAATCAAGAGAATACAACGATTATGAAAATATATTTTTAAGGCTTTTTTAGTTAATTAAAAATGTGTACTAAGTGAAACATAAAATAAAATCAAAATATCTTATATTAAGAACCGGAGGGAGTATTAAATTACACAAAGAAATCAATATTATAAACTTTACCCCGACTGGTAATTGAGAATTGTGTTGGAAAATTACTTGCATCATGCAAGCTTGTTCACGAAATGATGCAAGATTCCCAGGAAATTAAGTTAAAGGGATTCGCTGCCATATTTGGTATAGGAAACAAAGGAAGTGGAAGCGATTTAAATTCATTAATCATTCCTCGTGTAGAATTTTCGTGTTGGACACTTATGTTTATTCATCCGTGACGTCATACACAAGAAATCGAAATACCTCCACGCATCAATCATATATGTACATATTAAGACCATGAGATCGACACGGTAGAAGATTTATATTCCTTCCGCCTCGAAACAATTATTCATTTGAAAATTTCAATACTATAATTAATTCTGGAACCAAGCATGCATGCTCGCAGCTTGTACAACAACGTGTAAAAGTTTCAAATTTCAAATTTGTTGTATCATTATTAATATCAGGATCGTTATATCATCTGTCACATAACTCGTGGTAACATCAATAAACTGCATAGCATCATAAGACCAAATAGTGAGAGCATAATATATAAGAGATATTTGATGTAAGTATTTGTAATAAACATGAAAAGATGTAAAAATTATGAAGAAGGTTAAAATTGAAAAAGGGTGATGCAACAAAGTAGTAATTCAAATGTAAAAAAAAAAAAATTACCTTGAACATTTCGGTAGGCTAGAAATCTTTTCAACTTAGATAAGTATCATAACATTTTTATGAGCCCAATTCATATACATGTGAATCCAGAGCAATTGAAATGTCACAACTTTGAAAAGCAACAAAAAAAAAAAGAAAAAGAAAAACGAATATTAGGTGTAGAAAAGTTTATGATAGTTAAAAATTAGTACAAAATATCTTATTGCATAAAATGATAAAAGAAAATAGTCATACTTTGGGTGAAATCTCTGCCATAGAATATGTATCACCTCAACATCTGTTGAATATTTATCTGAGAGAGAAAACCTGATATGTAACCCAATAAGTAAGATAAGATTCATATGGACTCAAAAGCTCAATCTAATAGGTCATGAGTTTATCTTACTTATTAGCTAATTCACATGTTTTCATTCCTCCGATATGGGATTCACAATCATTGCCACACGATCCTCAACATTCTTCCCCGTCATGGGCAACCTTTGGGATTCACAATCATTGCCACACGATCCTCAACATTCTTCCCCGTCATGGGCAACCTGCACATCTGGTTTCCAAATTATCTTAACAAGCTCAAATTTATACTCCACCAAAGTAACCGGGCCATCCATCCCTACGTTTCCGCTCGTAATGGGTCTTTGACTACTTGGGTTCAGTCAGGTCAGCCTAAATAATCTTAGCTAAATCACCTACCCAACTGGTTCAACCTGGACTGTGATACCACTGTTGAAGATTTATGCGGGAAAAAAAACCCAATATGTAGCCTAATAAGTAAGATAAGATCCATATAGACTTGAAAGGTCACTACAAAAAAAAATAATCAATTAACCATAACCCTGGTCGTGATTAATTTTGCCTTTGAGTCCGTAGTTATTAAGTTCAACCACAGAATTATCCACGACATTGGATGCGGGACTAATTCTCTAGTGGGTAAATTTTTTACATACGAAAGTCAATGTTTGTGGTAAAATTACACATGAAAAAGTTCTGTGACTAATATGTTTTGTGGAATCTAGCAAAACAACACATATTGAATTAGCCACGAAATTTCATGGTCTCATCCGTGGATAACATTTTTGTGAGATTTAGAATAACCACACTTTACCACATATTTTCGTGGCTAAATTCATCAACAAAGTAATATGATTAAACATTAGTTAATTTTAGCCACAACATATGTTGTGATTAATCCGTGCTACATTTTTTTTTATCCTACATTTTTTTAATCCTATTATATATATATATATATTATTGCTTTAGGAATATAAGAATAAGAAATAAAATTGTATTAACAAACAAAACTTTTCAAATATCATAGAATACATTACATAGATGCATTTCAATACAACTTCTACGATCAAGTAAAAGAATACATCCAAGTATATCATTTCTAACATCTCAAATGTATTTATACGCGTTAAAAATTTACAATGACAAAAACCTATACTAATTGATAAAGCAGCAACACTTTCTGTCCTTGATCTATTGTCCTTGAAATATATCAAACCCGAACACTTGAAAGGTCACAAATGAACAAGGAAAGCATTTAAATGGGTGCGTGTAGGAGCTCAGCCCGTCAATACAACCATAACATAGATGGACAAGGATCAAGGTAACTTAACCACAGAGGCTATTAAACTACCGTCATTACTAACACAAAATTTTTGCAATCTGTTCATATTGTATTTAAAAGAACTGGGAAAATGTTAACATGAAAACGTTCAGCACCCAGATAGCCCTGTAACATTTGAATTACAAAAGCACCCTGTGCAAAATTGGTGACACGAGAAATTGAAGAGTAACCCGGATCACATACCTCAATAGGATGTGATTCCAAAAGCCCATCCAAGCAAAGTCCTTCAGTACTTTCATCCAGGAATTGTGTCCAAATTTCAGACTCAGGAAACAGGCTATCAGCTCCTAAATAGCTAACCTAAATGCCAAAAAATGAAAAAGATGGGAAAAAGTTAAAAAGAGAATATCATCTTTCCTAGATCTTCCAACCAAACAACAAAAGAAACTCCAGCAACATTAGGCCTGGACTAAGAAAGGAATTCTGACATTGCAGCATGAAAATGTACATGGACAGAGTATCCATATTCCCAAACAGAACTCTAATTTTGAATGGAGAACAACACAACAATACCACACAAAATGCTTCAGTGAGTAAAGAGACAAGAAATAGACATATCCCAGAATCATAGGAGGGAAGAAAAATTCAGACTCCAAAAAGATACATGCCATTATAACACACATCAAGAACACCATTGTAGTTTATGTCTGCATTTTCACTATAAAGTTTTTCCACCTATAGTAAAATCCAGCAAAGTTGGAAACAAAGGCCACAATTACTTCAATTTAAACTTCTGGATTTTAAACTCAAGATAACTCTCTGATTATCAGCTCATGTCAACCAACAAAACTAAACCAAGCAATCCAAAAAAAAAAGGCAAAGAGCCTAAAAATACTCACATAGCTGCAGATCAACCACAAAAAGATTGAGAGTTTGGGGCATCCCACAAAAAGGTCCATCAATGATGTGAAATTCAAGCTCTTTCCTTTGTCTGGATCTCAGTGAGAGGAGAGGTACTGACTCTTTCATTCTTAATACCTGCAAGCACCAAAAAGACATGGATCAGACATAGACATAACATCTATGGTTGTTAATAAAGAATGGAGTTATCAGTTACTTCCCGGATTGTAAACAACTTAAAACAAATTGAGGACTCTATAATGACTATAAACCTTCCTGCAAAGCCTAATGATCCATGCAATTGGACGTACCTTTTGCCAATCTCAAGAAGAATGCCAGCACAAAAGAGTTAATACCGGAAACATTACCCTGAAAAACAAGTTAGAAGCGTAGAATATAAATCACAAAGACTGAGAGTTTAGAATATTTCAGATAAAATTAAAAGTTTTTAGATAATCTCACCTTCCCTGCAACTCCATTCAAATGGTTTTCTGCCAAGCAAAATAGGAAAAAGTCAATTCAATTCCCGGTATTAATCCAATTGCCAATAATCACATGGAAAGAAAAATTTGAGGATCAAGTAAAGCACACCAAATATAAATCAAGAGCAAACTGACCTTTGATTCAAGATACCTACTAAAACTAGGACCATTTCCTTCATCTAGAATACCCCCCATCAGATTCCTTGCTTCTTCTTGTATCAAAACAAGCCTCGCAAATAACTTATGTGAACAAAAGGTAGGTTGGCTTTCCATTGACTGCAAAGAGCAGATTAGCAAAACAGTTAACACCAATTTCATCCTTGTCATATTACCTCTTAACTTCAGCAACTCATGTTCTCCTCAAGAGTATCATTATTAAAATAAAAGGCCCTAATAACATAAACTACGCCAGAATAGTTCAACTCATATTTCAATGAACTATGAGTCAACTAACAAAATAAGGCAATAGTATTGGAATGTTTTTTAGATTAATAAGTGTCGAAAACTTACATGAGTTTCCTAAGATTTCGAATCAATAAAGGTATTAAATCATGGTCCTCAGCATCTGTGTATGCAAATACTTTACTTTTGTTTGGAATCTGCACTCAACCTATGGTAGGAGCCTACAAATATTAACATAATGATTTTGATTCACAACTTCAGAAAATCAAAACAATTGATACAGACATACGAAGAGGTAGTGCTTAAGAATATAACGATAATTAAACCAGGCTGGTGACGGTAAAATGTAAACTTCATGTTATACAAACTAAGACAGATTCCAAAGGTATGTGACGGACCAAATTACCCAAAAAAAAAAAAAAAAAAAGACACAGGGTTATATAGAATCGAGGGAGACCTAGCAAAAGTATCAAAACAAGGTTGAAATTCAATTATCGCAAAAGGTTTCAACCTTGGCATTTAATTCCAATCAAATACGATAATTCCTAGACTCCAAAACAAAGCAAACCACAAAAGAAGAAAAGCCCTAATTGAGGAACCAAAAGAGTGAAACACAGGAAACTAAAGCACGAGCTAACAAACATAACATTCAAGCACAAGAAAAAAGATAAAATTTCCAAGAGGCCAATTTAATCAATCGTAAACCGCCCAATAAACAAAAACTTGATTCAATCAATGCACAAACGAAGCTGAAAAGTGTAAGACTTGAAGCTCACCAATAATGATAATAACTTATGGGAGACCACTGGTGCCGGATTGGAGAGAAGACGATGCCAATAGTTAGAGGGTTACAATTTCTTGGTGTGATTGGAGAGCGACATATCTAAGAAATGGAGAAGTGAAAGAATCAAGAAAACAAAAAGCTGTTTTAGGAGACTGTCTGTAGATGATCATAACCGGCAAAAAGCAACACCGATTAGAGAAGAAGTGAAGAACGCCATCGATCTGGAGGGTGACCGACGACTGATTTTGGGGGTGAGGTTCCGGAAGAAGCGAATTGGTAAAGTGTTTTTTTTTTCTTTTTCTTTGAGCTTTTTGAAATTGTGGTGTGTATTTGGCATAAAGCGGGTTGGGCAAAAAGTAGATCTAGCAAAAAGCGGGGCGGGAAATAGAAGGCGGGGAAATTTTTGTCAAATAAAACCGAAGGCGGAAAAATTTCCCCGATTTTCCCACTAGATTATTCAATTAATTTTTTTTTACCATGAACGAACGTAAAAGAATTTTGTCAAAAAATCATGCAGTGGCACACTTAAAATTATTTTATGGCACCCTTAATTTTTTTCTTCCACTTAAAACATATACAATTATAACTATTTTCAATTACAACCTTCAAAGGTTTTTTTTTTTTTTTTTGGCATTGAACCCTACCATTTTGATATTTTAAGAAAAATATATCGTTCCTATCCTAAATTTTGTCCTCGTCGTCAATCATACCCAATAAATTTTTGCTTAGTCAATTTTACCCTAATGTTTGAAATTTTCGCCAATTTCATCCAATCACCAATTACAAAATATTGGATACTCCTTTGGATCTTAATTGTAACGAACAAATTATTGTTAAAATCGGTTCAAATTTGTATCTTAAACTTATGATCAGTAAGAATAAGTTAAAAAATTATTTATTTATATATACCTTCTTTATCTAATATAATCTACATTTGATTAAAGAAATCAACTTATAGTTATTCAGTTATTAAGTATTTATCACACAATTGGCGTACAACGCATACGACATCATTCTAATTGATGATCACCAATCAAGTTAGTACGTAGTTACACAATATTATATTTTCGTTTCTGATTATACTTTGAATTTGTTGATTTGTCCATGCTAGTTGCTAGCTATTACTTATTAGAGCATTGCAATTACTTATTACGACATCATTCTAATTGATGATCACCAATCAAGTTAGTATGTAGTTACACAATATTATATTTTCGTTTGTGATTATACTTTGAATTTGTTGATTTGTCCATGCTAGTTGCTAGCTATTACTTATTAGAGCATTGCAATTATTTATTAATTAATCAATGATCTCTTTCACATATTACGTATACACACAATATTTATGTGTAAGTATAAATGAAAAGTACCACATAATGAGATAAATGTTTGTTGTAGTTGTTTAAAGATAGAAAACATTGTATATTATATGGTGTGTAGAGTTTTAAATAATTTAATATAGTACTCCCTCTAGTCCTAATTAATTTTAAGGCATAAGTTAACACTAAAAGAGTTCTACTTTGTGTCTTATACTTGGTACTAGATGGAGTACTATCGAGCAAATTACTATTATTTTGTCTTTTACTAACATCTTGTGCACATTTCACTTATTACTGAATTACATATAAAATTCTATTAATATAATTCAAACATAAACCTTACAAAAAAAAAAATTAAAGTTATAACTAATTTTAAAAAATGAGCATATCTAGCCACGGCCATAGGCATCTAAAATTGTGGTTAATCGATATATACATTTCACCTTCCCAATAAATTAGCCACGAAAATTATTGTGGCAAAAAAATATTTGTGGCTGATTCGTGGTTAATTCAAATATTATCCACTGATTTACACACGGAAAAATTATCCACAAACAAAACCGTGTCTAACCTATGAATTATCCACAGATTTACACATGGACAAATCAGCCACGAACAAAACCGTGTCTAATCCGTGGAAAAATTATTGGCGGAAAAAAATTTGCCACGAATTAGCCACGACTTTGTTTAGTCGTGGATAATCGTGGCTAATTCGTGACTAATGTTGTGGTTAAGTCGTGGATAAAAGAAGAAGTGAACATTGGTCAACATCTCGTGGCTAATCCGTGTTTAATCCATGTCTAAATAACCACGAAATACCCACGACCATGCATAATCCGTGATTAACAAAGAGTTTTTTTTTTGTAGTGGGTCAAACTAATAGGTCCTGAGTTTATCTTACTTATTAGCTGAATCACATATTCTCATGTCTCTGATGTGGGATTCACAACCCTTGTCACATGACCTCATCAATATTCTGAAGATGTATAAGACTCATGTATTACATTGTATTGACAAACATATATATAGTGTTTAGGGTTACAATGATATTACAACAATACCCCTGATCTAACCCTAATTATATATACACTAACATCCCCCCTCAATCTACGGGAGGTAGGCGAACATTCAGATTGTCCCGAAAATCATCAAATAAGACCTAAGGCAAGCCCTTAGTCATGATATCAGCAAACTCTTAAAAGGAGGGAATATGTAAAACACGAATAGAGCCCTGCGCAACCTTCTCACGAACAAAGTGAATATCAATCTCAACATGTTTTGTGCGAAAATTCTGAACAGGGTTAGTAGACATGAAAATGGCACTAACATTATCACAAAACACGATAGTGGCAGTAGGCAAGCTTATGGACAACTCGGAAAGTAAAGAATGCAACCACCATATCTCGGCAACCGCATTAGCAACAACGCGATATTCAGCCTCTGCACTAGAGCGAGAAACAATGGGTTGGCGTTTGGAAGACCAAGAGACAAGATTGGAACCCAAGAAGACATAGTACCCTGAAGTAGAACGGTGGGTGTCAAGACAACCAGCCCAATCATCATCAGAGTAAGCAACGAGTTGATCAAGGGCAGTAGGCTTAAGAGAGAGACCATAATGAAGAGTACCCTTCAAATAGCGAAGAATACGTTTGACTGCCTGATAATGAGATTCACGCAGGGCATGCATAAAAAGGCAAACTTGCTGAACAGCATAAGCAATATCCGGGCAAGTGAAAGTGACATACTGAAGAGCACCAACATGCTACGATATTCATAAGGATCTAAGAATAAAGCACCATCATGTTGAGACAACTTGCCCTTGCTGTCAATTGGAGTGCGTGCCAAGTTAGCCGAGGAAAGCTTACAGCGGTCCAATAGACTAGCAATATATTTGGACTGAGTCAAAAAGAGGACCATCAGAAGTACGAGTAACTGAGATGCCTAGAAAATAGTGGAGATCACCCAAATCAGTCATAGCAAATTTCTTCCATAATTTAGCAATGATGGAGGCCAATAAAGAATCAGAGGAGGCAATAAGTAGGATATCATCAACATAGAGCAAGAGAACAACCATATCCTCACCATTGCGATAAACAAACATAGAAGAATCTGATTTGTTAGAACAAAAATCATGTGAGGAAATAAAAGAGGCAAACCGGTGAAACCAAGAATGGGGTGCCTGTTTTAAACCATAAAGAGCACGATGTAACTTATACACATAATCAGGATACTGATGATGAACAAAGCCAGGTGGTTGCTTCATGTAGACAGGGTCTTGCAACAGACCATTCAAGAACGCATTTTTGACATCAAGCTGATGAATAGGCCATTGGCGAGAAAGAGCCAGAGATAAAACAGTACGAATAGTAGCAGGACAAACCACCGGACTGTATGTATCACCAACATCAATTCCAGGGCGCTGAGAGAACCCCTAAGCAAAAATTCGGGCTTTGTAGCAATCTAAAGAGCCATCAGACTTTTCTTTCACCCGAAACACCCACTTCGAACCAACCACATTAACATCTGGGGGTTTTGGAACAAGAGTCCAAGTATTGTTGCATGACAAAGTAGCAATTTCATCGTTCATAGCCTGCTGCCATTACTCAAACTTACATACCTCGCGATAGGTAGTAGGAACCTGCAAAGGAGTGTCAACAACAGTACTAGCTAAATTGAAAATCACCTTGGGTTTACGAGTGCCATCCTTAGCACGAGTGACCATAGGATGATGAGGAAGAATGGAAGGAATGCTTATAGGAGGTGATAAACTAGGAGAAACAGATACAGAGGACGAGTCAAAAGCTGATGAGGAGATGATAATTTCGAAGGATTGGAATACGAGGTACGAACATTGGATTTAGAGGATATTCGTGTTGAGGGAAGAAAAACATTAGCATGAGAAAGAGCAGAAGGAATCAACGACAAAGGGGAACGAAAATGATTATGCGAGGAAGGACTAAAAGAAGGAATAGAAGCAAACGGGAAAGTATTCTTGTCAAAAACAACGTGGCGGGAAATAATGATCTTATTAGTAGTGAGATCAAGGTAACGGTAGCCTTTATGATGCGAAGGGTAACCAAGAAAAACACAAAGAGTGGAACGAGGTGCTAACTTATGACGAATGGTGTGAGAATGATTGGGGTAGCATGCTCAACCAAAGGTGCGTAGATGATCATAAAATGGGGGCTTGTGATGAAGAGCCTCGTAAGGTGTCTTGTTGTGGAGAAGAAGAGAGGGAAGACGATTTAAAAGATATGTAACGGTAGTGAGAGCTTCGACCCAAAAAGAAGGAGGCACAGAAGCTTGGAACAAAAGAGTATGAATCATGTTGACAATAGTACGGTTAAGACGTTCTGCGTTACCATTTTGTTGAGAGCAAACAGTAGTGGATAGGCGAAGGTGAACGCCATGGGTGCGAAAAAATTCCCTAAAAGAATGATTTTCATATTCCCCACCCTGATCACATTGAAAAGTACGAATAATAGCATTGAATTGGGTTTGAACGTAAGCAAAGAAAGCACAAAAGCAAGAGAAGACATCAGCCTTAAAGCGAAGAGGAAATACCCAACAATAATGTGTATAATCATCAAAAAAGGTAACAAAATATTTATAGCCACTACGAGAAATAACTGGAGAAAACCATACATCAGAATGAATAAGTGCAAAAGGCGAAGTAGCCTGTGACAAAGACGAATCAAAGGGTAAACGCACATGTTTCCCTAATTAACAAGCATGACAAAAATCAATAGTAGTTCGAGAACAAGAGATAGTAGAAGCATTTATTAAGTTGGCCAAAACACGATGACCAGGATGACCTAAACGGCGATGCCAAGTGAACGAAGAGGAACAAGTAGCAACGAGAGCTAGAACCGAAGCTGAGGAGCTGCCAGGAGTGAGAGGGTAGAGTGGTCCAGGACTATTGCACCTAAGAAGTCTTGTCTTCGTGGGGAGATCCTTAACAGACAAACCAAAAGGATCAAATTCAATAGAACATTTATTATCAGTAGTAAACTTACGAGCAGAGATTAGATTTTGAGTAAGAGAGGGAACATAAAGTGCATTATGAAGAAACAAAGGACGACTAGAAGTAGAGATAGTTGAAGAACCAAGGGATTTAATCGGTAGCAAAGCACCATTGCCAACACACACTTTATCAGGACCATTATTAGAAGATAAACCAGTAAGCTTACCAGAGTCGTTGGTCATAGTAGCACCCGCAGCTGAATCAAAATACCACAGGTTATGGCTTGGAGTGAAGGTCGGATAGGCATTGAAAGCTAGGGTTGTCGAAGGTGATCCCATAGGAACGGAGGGACACATACGGGCAACATGACCATAGCCTCGAAAATTATAGCACTGAACCAAGTGCTGATATGGAGAAGATCCAGGCACCCGAAGAACTGGAGAAGGCGGCGCACCGAAAATAGAGGAGGGTGGAGCAGATGGGTGAAAGTATTATGGTTGCCAATTACCTCGGCCACCACCCCTGCGACCGCCTCCACGGCCTCCACCACCACGTCGACCACCAGTAGAAGCATTCTGGAAAGCAGCAGTTGCATAAGCAGCATGAGAAGTAGCCTGAACTGGCAGGACATGCAAAGAAACAGTCGCAGTCGAAGAAGATGAAGCTGGCTGCGCAACAAAGACAGAAGTGGAGGAGGAGGCTGCGATGGATTTGCTGTTATTTCAACAGTTTAGCTTCTTCAAGCAGAAGCCGAGACCGACACTCATCAAACGTCGGCAATGGTTTTTGGGCAGAAATCTGAGAGGTTGCAGCGTTATATTCAGGACCCAAACCCATTACAATTTGCATAACAACGTCCCGAAATGTAATAGAATCACCAACAGACACTAAGCAATCATAAATTTCTTTCAAACGATCCAAGAAGGCAGCCATGGAGAGATCACCTTTCTCTAAATGGAAAAACTCCTGGCGTAGGTGAACAATCCGAGACTCGACATGATCTTGAAAGAGCTTCTCAATTTTCTGCCAAGCATCAAAGGCAGTGAACGACGTCCCCGGAGTGATAATACTGCGTAAAATTTCACGAGAAAGAGTGGCTTGTATCCCGGAGAGAACAAGAGCATCACTCTGATTCCAAAGAGCATATTCCGGATTAGTTGCGGGGGGAGAAGGAGTCGAACCGTCGACATGGCCATAAACCTGATGACCTTTGAGAACTGGAATGAAGAGCTCACGCCAGATCAAGTAGTTGGTGTAGTCCAAGACTTCATAAACGTGATTCTTTATGTTGTTTAAAGAGAAAGCAGGGTGACGAGAAGGAGAAGCAATAGAATCAGCACCAGCAGCAGAGACACGGGAAGACGATGGGGTCTTTGGATTGTTGATCACTTCATCTTCAGGATTCACCATAGCAGCGACGCCGAAAGTAACAAACCAATGATTACACCAGCAACGATTACCGAACCTTGGAAAACAACTAACAAGCAGCAGCCGACCAAACAAACAATTAACAGCAACACCGGCAGCAATCAACAACAAGAATAAGGAGAAACGAAAGGCAGCAACAACCAAAAAAAAAAAAAACTAAAACCAAGACCGTGAAGAACGCGACCAAATCAAAGATCAGTCATGAACTCGTGTATTCAGAGGATGGCAGCGGCAAACGGCAAGAAGAAGATCGACGGTAGCAGCGTGGAAGAGACAGCAGCAGCAGCAATAACAGAAGAACCGGTGGAGGAAACCGTTAATTGGCTTTGATTGATGAAGAACAAAAGGATGGCACCACAGAAGAGGAAGAACGTTCTAAGACGAAAAGCAAAACCCGAAGCGAACAACAACACCAAACAGGGAGAAGAAGCCACTCAAATTTCAATAATACATGCAAAGAGTGGCCGAAATCGGGAGGCGGCAAACCAGCAGCAGATTTGAGAGGTGAACAGAAACAAATAGAAGCACGTAACAAATTCGATGATGACACTAGGGATGTTGGTCGCCAATGAAGAAGAAGAAGAAGCAAGACGGCAGCGAGGGTGAAGCTTCCGCAAAAGAAGGTGACGACCACAAGAGGAAACGGCAAGATAGAAAACCCTAAAAAAAAATGACGGCCCCAGGGAGAGGCTCTATACCATGAAGATGTATAAGACTCATGTATTACATTGTATTGACAAACATATATATAGTGTTTAGGGTTACAATGATATCACAACAATACCCCTAATCTAAACCTAATTATACATACACTAACATATTCAACATTCCAATACCTTGCAAATCAACCCTCGTCTGTATCGGAGCTTTCAAATAGAGTAGTATATAAATATTTGATTGGCAAAGAAACTATAGTTGTGTTTGAGTACCTCTGCAGCCATTGCGGGCCATTGCAGCCGTTATGTTATTTTGGCAGTGGAGGACAACACTACAACAAAAATGGGCTATTAATACCTTTATAGTGGGACACTTTTTCTAAAATGTGTCTCATTATATGTGTATTAGGACATTTGCTAAAAAGTGTCTTATTAAAAATGAAAAAGTGTATGCATATTATGAAACACTATTATAAGTGTACTATGTGGGGTTGCTTGTGAACTATTACCCTACTTAATGGGTCACTTTAAAGTGTCTTAATAAGTGACAATCTAATAATACACTTTCAAATGTTTTATGATTTATTGTGACTCGATTATAGGAGACACTATTTAGTAGTGTCCCACGCAATGTGAATCACATGTGTCCTATTATACCACTTATTGAGACACAAAAAAGTGTCTAAACTACTCATTTTTGTTGTAGTGCAATCAAAGAAACTATAGTTGTGTTTGAGTACCTCTGCAGCCATTGCGGGCCATTGCAGCCGTTTTGTTATTTTGGCAGTGGAGGCAAATGCACTACTCCCTGCCCAAATCCACAAACGGAACAACAATGAGATTTGGAATCGGCCCTGGTCGATAATGATCCTTTGCATTTCACATAAAACTCTTTCACGTTTAATAGACTCATGCCAAACCCAACATACAATGTTCGACAGAAGACAAACATAAAATTAGGTCGAAAAGTGCAACATTGATCCGACTATTTAAATGAGCCGCTATGTGGAGTTAAGAAGATTTGAAACTTTCCATTGCCTAACGAAGAAAAATTTATTGCATTAGTTAAACTCTTCGATTCGTTTTTTTTGTATGTTTTAGGTTCACTACAATTAAAGCCTACTGCCAACCATCATGTTTTTGTCTCAAACATTGCTAAATTAGACCTGAAACATGCCACTGATTGTAACGAATAATTAACATTCGGTATAACTTTTAAGTTGTAGGAGCTAAAATGCGAAATGAAATAAATCCAAAATTAATCTGTATGTTCTTGAGACCTAACTATTAATACAGAAACCTAACATAGTGTTTGATCCATTGATCTTTTATATCGATCCGCCAGCCATGAGTGTTCTTAAACTGAGTTTGTGCTTCGTAATCCTTGTGCATTTAATATATTGACACTTCTTTTCAATCTTCATTGCCAAACCATGTGTTGTTTACGGTTGGCCACTGGCCCCATTCCAGATAGCTCCTACTTCTTCCCTCCGAAATGACTGTTTTATTCAAATTTTCGCCTTTATTAGCGTAAAAATTTAAGTAAAACAATTATTTAAGGACAAAAAAGCATTTATTATTTGAAATTAGCGAAAGCTGAAATTTCTACAATAGACAATGAGGTGCAACAAAATGATGAAATCTTATATCCGGCAATAGAACCGAAGTCAGCTAAACAGAAAAATAAAGAACCGATATTGTTGTTATCTTGAAAAAGAAATACCGAGGATTAACTGAATACAGTGATTTTGCCATATTTGATTTGTTTGGAATGATTTTGAAATTCAAGAGCTCTTCATTGGAAACAGAACTTTTCCATGAAATTTCTATTTTCGGCCCTTAATGATTGAGGTTGCTGAAATCGTCACGTGTTATAGAACAAAGAACTATCATGTTGTAAGTTGTAACTATCGTCACATGTAAATATCTATATATATATATATAAAGACGTTTCTTCTCCTCTTCATCTCTCAATCAAAAGTTGTAAAATTGCATCATCATTTCTATACAATGCTAATCCTCATCTTTATGGCGTTCTCTCTACTAATTCCCCTCCTAATTTTCCAATTTCTTCACAACAAGAACACAAAACCATCAAGAAAACCTAATCCACTAGGCCCTACTGGGCTTCCATTCGTTGGAAACTTGCTTCAAATTGATACTTCATGCATGCATGAATACTTATGGGAACTTGCAAACAAATACGGTCTTTTAATGTCCATGAAGCTTGGCTCTAGACCTTTAGTTGTGATTTCGTCACCAAGATTGGCCGTAGAAGTGCTGAAAAACCGAGATTTAGTGTTTAGTGGCCGGCCTAAAATGAAAGGGCAGCAGAAGATGAGCTATAATGGCTTGGATATTGCCTTAGCGCCATACAGCCAAGAATGGAGAGAAATGAGAAAAATATGCATTCTTCATCTCCTGAGTGTCAAAAGAGTTCAGCAGTTTCGTCCAATTCGCGAAGATGATGTTTCGCAAATGATCTCTAGAATTGTGAAAGATGCAACGCAGTCTAAAGTTACAAACTTGAGCGAGACGATGATTTCAGTCACGAGCACAATGATAGGCAGGATTGCTTTTGGGAAGAGGTTGGATGAAGACGGCCATGAACAACGGAAGTTTGAGGAACTTGTGCATGAAGTTCATGCAATGTTTCTGGGATTTTTCTTTTCGGATTACTTCCCTTCTTTGGGTTGGATGGATAAAATCACTGGAATCAATCATCGACTAGAGAGGATTTTTGAAAAGTTTGATTCATTTTATCAAGAACTCATCAATGAACATCTTGATCCAGATAGACCTGAATCCATGAATGATGATATTATTGATCTCATGCTTCAACTACAAAAGGACAAATCAACTTCATTTGACATCACAATGGATCACATCAAAGCTTTCCTCATGGTAATTTTCCGTAGCTTTCTTCTTATGTTAGTTTTACTATTTGAAGGATAATGTATGTAAAATCTAAAGTACCCACCTTTTCGTTGAGGGATTATATTTGCCCGGTATCTACTCTCAATAACAGTTATTAATCATTTATTTACATTTTTTTTAATTTTCAAGTTTAGAGAATCCAATAATTTATTGTTTTAATTTATATCTTTGCACTAATTACGAATCTTACAGAATGTATTCCTTGGTGGAACAGACTCTAGTGGAATTGTAGTCACTTGGGCAATGACTGCACTGATTAAGAACCCCAGTGTCATGAAGAGGTTGCAAGGAGAAATCAGACAAACAATGGGAAACAAAGAGATATTAGATGAAGATGAAGTTGAAAAGCTTCCTTTCCTCAAAGCAACTGTAAAGGAAACCCTAAGGTTGTACCCGGTTGCGCCGCTTCTAATGCCTAGAGAAACACTCGAAAAATGCAAGGTAGATGGATACGAAATTCAACCCACTTGGGGCATCGGAAGAGATCCCGAGATATGGGAAAATGCAGATGAGTTCCGGCCTGATAGATTTCTGAATTCCGATATAGATACCAAAGGGCAAGATTATCGATACCTCCCATTTGGATCGGGAAGAAGAGGTTGTCCTGGAGACTACATGGGACTAATAACAACACATCTTTTACTCGCCAATCTCTTGCACTCGTTTGATTGGGAATTACCACCTGGGATACATAAAGATGATGTCGAAACCCAAAGCTTGCCTGGTTTTGCAATGAACAAAAAAAATGCTCTGAAACTTTTAGCCAAAATCCCCGGTTAGTGTTAGTATTACCAGATATATGTGCTATCTTACATATTTCTGGCCCCTAATTATTAATTTAAAATCATATTTGACCGATTATCATTATAATATATCAACTTATTTTTCAATCTTTCATATATGTTGAAGATACAATATCAGTATTACGCTCAATAGTTTGAATTGTCATTTGTGAACACGTGTAATCATGAAACCAATGAATAATTCATGCAACCTAGCGGGACAGGGGATCGCAAATCCCAAATTTGATTATAAGAGTGGCACTGATTGTATTATTAGTTATAAAGTCAGTGTAGGCAATTTGTTTGATATTGCACAAAAGACGACTTTAATCTATTTTTATTTATGTAAACTTTTTGAATAATTTCTCATGAAGGACATTCAAACATGAAAATTATGAAGAAAGTTAAAATTTAAAAAGGGTGATCCAACAACGTAGTAATTCAAATGTAAAAAAATTTACCTTCAACATTTCGGTAGGCTAGAAATCTTTTCAACTTATGATAACAAGTATCATAACATTTTTATGAGCCCAATTCATATACATGTGAATCCAGAGCAACTGAAATCGCACAACTTTGAAAAGCAACAGAAAAAAAAAAACCAATATCAGATGTAGAAAGTTTATGATAATTAAAATTTAGTGCAAAATATCTTATTCCACAAAATGATAAAAGAAAATAGTCATACTTTGGGTGAAACCTCTACCATAGAATATGTATCACCTCAATATCTGTTGGGGATTTATCCAAGAGAGAAAACCCGATATGTAGCCCAATAAGTAAGATAAGACCCATATGGACTCAAAAGCTCAAACTAATGGATCCTGAGGAGAAAACTCGATATGTAGCTCAATAAGTAAGATAAGACCCATATGAACTCAAAAGCTCAAGCTACTGGGTCCTGAGTTTATCTTACTTATTAGCTGATTCACATATCCTCATGCCTCCGATTTGGGATTCACAAACCTTCCCACATGACCCTCAACATTCGCCCCCGTCATTGGCAACCTCCACATCGAGCTTTTAAATTATCTTAACAAACTCAAATCTATACTCCACCAAAGTAACTGGGCCGTCCATCCCTACGTTTTCGCTCGAAGTGGGCCTTTGACTGTTTGAGTTCTTAACCTAGATAATCTGGGCTAAATTACCTACCCAACGGGCCTAACCTAGGCTCTGATACTACTGTTGGGAATTTATCCAAGAGAGAAAACCTGATATGTAACCCTATAAGTAAGATAAAACACATATGGACTCAAAAGCTCAAGCTAATGGGTCCTAAATTTATCTTACTTATTAATTAAGTCACATGTCCTCATGCCTCTGATGTGTAATTCACAAACCTTGCTATATGACCCTCAACAATATTCAACATTCCAATACCTTGCAAATCAACCCTCGTCCGTATCGGAGCTTTCCAATAGAGTAGTATATAAATATTTTATTGGCAAAGAAACTATAGTCGTGTTTGAGTACCTCTACAGCCATTGTGAGCCATTGCACCCGTTATGTTAGTTTGGCAGTGGAGGCAAATGCACTATTCCCTGCCCAAATCCACAAACGGAACAACAATGAGATTTGGAATCGGCCCTGGTCGATAATGATCATTTGCATTTTACATAAAACTCTTTCACTTTTAATAGACTCATGCCAAACCCAACATACAATGTTCGACAGAAGACAAACATTAAAATAGGCCGAAAAGTGCAACATTGATCCGACTATTTAAATGGGCCGCTATGTGGAGTTAAGAAGATTTGAAACTTTACCATTGCCTAACGAAGGAAAATTTATTGCATTAGTCGAACTATTCGATTCGTCTTTTTCGTATGTTTTAGGTTCACTATAATTAAAGCCTACTGCCAACCATCATGTTTTTGTCTCATACATTGCCAAATTAGACCTGAAACATGCCACTGATTGTAACGAATAATTAACATTTGGTACAACTTTTATGTTATAGGAGCTAAAATGGGAAATGAAATAAATCCAAAATTAATCTGTATATTCTTGAGACCCAACTATTAATACAGAAACCTAACATAGTGTTTGATCTTTTATATCGATCCACAAGCCATGAGTGTTCTTAAACTGAGTTTGTGCTTCGTAAACCTTGTGCATTTAATATAATGACACTTATTTTATATATAATTTCATCCATATATAGAGATTCAAGTGTGTATCTCTTTACGATGTAACTAAAACATATAAGAATGCGGTAGGTCTGGAACCAGCCTCTGTTCTCTCATGAATATACTTGAAAGAAAATCATCAAGATGCAAATAACAATAAATCTAAGATTTATGCAAATACTATTTATATGCAGTGTAATAATAACTTATATATATACCACCATCATATTTCTCATTTTGAAGTTGTTCATTCAAACAGAATCAGAAAATAGGAAGATGAAAGAAACGTGAACGAATGAAAAATTGGAAAGCATTTGTTTCATGCTGCAAATTATCTTTTCTGAATTTCTTCTGTATTTCACGTATTTCATCAATTACGAGTGTACAGTGTTCTATTTATAGAGGAAGAAGCAAGCTAAAACATCTATCTACATCAAAGGACCTATTCTAGAATCTTCAAGGTAACTGCCTATGATAATTACAACTTCAGGACCTCATGTCGCTTTCAAGGTGGATCGTATTGCTTCTGGGATTTTCCTGATCCTTCATTCTGTTGTAATTTGATGCGGTTTCTATTTTCAAGCTCAACAGGAGCATCGTCAACTTGCAGCTGCTTGCTTGGAGAGAAAGACAACTCACCGAAGGTGCTGCTATGTATTGATGTGGATTTTCTTGCATCTGCTGATGTGGAATTTCCTACTTCTGTGATGTTTGCTGCTTGATACGTCAAGATCCCCCCTCAAGCTCAGCAGGGGAAGGATTCCACATGCTAAGCTTCGACAATAAGCAGGCAAACACAGAAGGAGACAAAGGTTTTGTAAAGAAATCAGCAATATTATCAGCTGAGTTAATATGCAAAGGATTGATGAATCCTTTCTTGTATTGTTCACGAACGACATGGCAATCTATCTCGATATGCTTTGTTCGTTCGTGAAATACAGGATTTGCAGTTATGTATATGGCAGCTTGATTGTCGCATTAAAAAGGAATTGGATGATCAACTGCAATATGAAGATCATGCAAGACATAGCTCAGCCATTGGAGTTCTCGAACTGTCACTGCCATCGCGCGATACTCCGACTTAGTTGTGGAGCATGATATCGTACTTTGCTTCTTAGTCTTCCAAGATACCAAATTAGAACCCAGGAATATACAATATCCACTCAGAGAATGTCTACTAGTTTTGCAAGATCCCCAATCAGCGTCACTATAACCTGTGATATTGAAGGTAGTGCTGCTTGAGTAGTAGAGTCCTTGATTGATGCAACCAGACAAATATCACAAAACATGCTGTGCAGCTTGCCAATGAGACTCATGGGGAATGTGTACGAACTGACTAAGTTGTTGAACACAATGGGTAAGGTCAGGTCGAGTATAGTTGAGGTACAAAAGTCGACCATCTAACCAGCGATATTGACCTGGATTTTGATACAGTGGTGTAGGATCCTTAGATTCTTTAGCAAAACGTAAACCAGGAGGAAATGGTGTACAAACTGGGACACAATCTAACATGTCTGCGTCACGTAAAAGATCTGTGACATATTTTCTTTGACTTATGAAGATTCCTGAAGAAGAACGTGCCAATTCCAGACCAAGGAAATATTTTGCTGCACCCAAATCCTTGTTAGTAAAACAGTCATCCAAGTGTTGCTTAACCTTAATAACTTCTGATTCATGTGATCCTATAACCAAGATGTCACGTAGACAAGGAGAGCAATGAAAACATAATCTCGATCAAGAATGAAGAGGCAATGATCGTGTGGTGACTGTTTAAAACCATAGGAAAGCAAAGTGGTTGTCAACTTAGTGTTCCACATTCCAGAAGCTTGCTTCGGTCCATAAATAGACTGGCTAAGCTTGCAGACTTGACCTTTCTTGGCCAGAGTATATCCTGGTGGTGGCAACATATACACTTCTTCCTCCAACCCTCCATGCACAAACGCATTATTCACATCCAATTGATGTAGACACCAGTTTTTGACAACTACAATAGCAATGAGAACTCTGACTGTGACTGTCTTGGCCACTGGAGAGAAAATTTCACTGAAATATTCTCCTCCCACCTGTGTATAGCCTTTAGCAACAAGCCTTGCCTTGTACCTATCAATCGACCAATCCGGCTTACACTTCACCTTGTAAATCCATTTGCAACCAACTGCTTTCTTGTCAGGAGATAATCAGTAACAGTCCATGTGTCAATTTGTTCTAGTGCCTGCAACTCCAAATTCATAGCTTTCTGCCACTTTTCACTAGTTCTTGCATGACTATAACAAGAGGGTTCATGAATATCTGATATATTGGCTAAGAGAGCTTTATGAGAAACAGAAAAAACACAATCAGCAGCATCCAGGAAAGAATCACATGCATGCAAGCAGTGTGGCAATCTTACAAAATCTTGCATCCATGCAGGAGGTTTAGATGTTCTGGTGCTACGTTTGGGAACATATGAAGGGAGATGATTTGGAAAAGATGATGAAAGAGGAGATGAAGAATTCATTGGAGTTGAGGTAGAAGTAGCAGAATTAGAATTCTGTGGAAAAATATGATTATGATCATTTTGATCAGACTGATGATCATTTTCCTGATTCAAAACATGATCAGGAGGGAATTTTGAGTATGTAATGGTTCCTCAGAAGCAGAAGATTCATGAAGTTCAGATGGGAGGAAAGTTTCTTCATCACTTAGAACCTTTGGAAGTGGCACTACAGGTTTATTGCATTTATAAGGGAAAACAGTTTCTTGGAATGTTACATCTCTGGATGCTATGATTTGGTGTAAGGTTTGACAAAACACCTTGTATCATAGATGTATGTTTATACGGCCCCCATACATCAATATGTAATAAGGAGAAGCATTTTGTTGTTCT